AACGAATGCGTTTCATTCCTTGGGGGATTTCAGCCTCTACCCTTCTTATTGCCAGGCCTCCTTCCATGTCTGCTGAGCCAAACATCCTACATAACGTTGTGGTGTACACATTAATTTACCGGTGTTAACTGTCTTAACATTTGAAAAATTCGGTAATTGTAGCTTTAGAATGCTGAAAAAAGTAGTCAAAATTGAATGCTCGGAGGTCTTTCAGTTTTAACCTTTATATTGGAACCTTTTCTATTTTCCTGTGTGTATGGATCGTGTCTCACTTTTCACAACTGCCAATTGCGAAAATTATGAGTTTGCGAGTCCCACGGCTAACACAGCTGCAATTATTGCCGTAATAGACCTCTATTCTTCATGTTCCGCGTGGGAATAACCATCACCAAGTCGTGTGTTACTAACACCCGATGAAAGCGATGCGACAGAGTTGTTCCCTTTCTGGGAGACTTGCGATACATTTTCCCAGCTTATTGTTCTTCAAATGCAAAAAAAACCCTTGGTAGTGCTGAGCGCTAACAGTGATCACCGCAACTTTATCATACCATTAGGACTACATTTAGCGTAGTGGACAGAGATGTCCTGTAAAACACACTGGATCGATCTCTGTTTTGACTCTGCGCCCACGGCTCACCAAGCATCGCATAGCTCCGGCGTTGCCAAATCGGGGTGATAGCAGTTTTACTCTATGCATCGGTGTAGGCGACTGCTAGTCGTTGCATAGGGCAGATATGCATTCAATCACTTCTAACGATGCTTAATGAAGTCGGGCGCATGGCGAATCCTTCAAGGACTGATCAACACCAAACGTCTTATCCTTCATTCATCCTCTATGATTTTAATATGATTTTAATAATAATAAAATTTGGATGTGTCAAATTGGAACATCACGGTAGTTTTATTTTAGTCTCCTTTAGCACTCATGTAAATGATTATATAAACGACTAAATAAAACTTTATCACTTGTTACGCAGTCGTGCTTCTCTGTGCTTTTCCTAATCCACTGGAACACTGGATATTGATTCAACGCCTACAGTGACGACTGAAAATACCAACAGAGAGTGTTGTGTTTCCCTTGAAGAGGAATCTGCCACCAATCCGACAGAACGAATGGCATGATTAATCGGCCTAGGCCGTTTTGCTGTACCATGCTTGCGATACTGCGCTATATAAGCACAAAGGGATAAAAGGATAAAGGATAAAGATTCCGGAGTTGATCAATCGCTGAGGGACGGGTCAGGTTTCCAACTTCATCAAACATCATTAGAGGCAACTGAGTGGATACCTAGCCTATGCAACGACTTGCAGTGACCTGTCAATGAATGGAGTGCTATTATCTCTCTAGGTAAGTCTGATATCAATGGTCTCGTGGCGCGGGAATGAGTGAAAGACCACGTGTATATAGTAGGGCACCTCTAGCCACTGCGTCACACGAGCCCAATTGAGAGATACTGCCATTTAACGACTTCACGAAACATGAGGTTTAACTGATCGGGATTAGGATCAGATTAGCAGCGGAATGTACTAAACTTGGATACTTACATGGATACTTGGACGGTCCATTTTCAAGAGTTGTGTGGAACCCAACACATAAGCCATTCGTTCCTTCCTCTCGCAATTGTAGTCCATGGTGGTAGTCTTGCTCGAGCAAGGTAGCGCGTGAGAACGAACCTCATACCGTGATCTGTAAAACAACTGCAGCTGCAGGCACATCTGATTAACCTACGAACACGTCCGCTCTACGTGTAGATGGTCGTTCTAGGGAACGTTTGCATTCTCTTGGAGTTCACTCTACTGTTCTTTTCGTCCATCTGTTGTCTGTTCTTCTTATTATGTGACCGGCCTATCTATGTTTCGCTGTCGATGTATATTCTCCTGGATCTCGAAGATGTGGTAGATTTCGAAGGTCAGAACTTCGCATTCCGGCTAGGCATTGAAACTGCCGGTTATATATCAGAAGACATCGCTCAAGCTCAATGTAATATAGTGTACCTTCGTACCACTGACCACCTCATAAAAACAGATTTATTCCAGTCAGGTCCTAACCTCTCATTATCTTTATTCCAATTTTGCTATTCGTTTGTTTTTTGCAGTCTTCCTAACGTATTTGGTTCAAATGGCTTTTTCCAAGTCACATACGAAGGCTCTGTTATCCTTTCGACTGCTTTCAGTAATTCTACTTTGAATTTTTACAATAAATCAGAATAACAAACTATTTAATGTATTACCGCCTCATCGTGGTTGTGAGTTTTCTGGGTTCGCTAAAGCTATGTACAATGAGGTTATCATGGCTAATAAGCTACTATCGAAACCGAAAAAAACGTTTCCATCCGTAGGCCTAGGAAGAAGTAAAATAATCCAAAAATTACTGCCGTACTAAAGCTTTTGCCAAACAAACAAAATGCTGAGTAACTGAAAAATATGGCGGAGTTCAACGAATCTTCGAGCAGACGGGCTGTTCATATATTCATGTATTCATGTCCACCATCTCCGTCACGTGAGCACTCTCGGTCCACTTAGTCACGAAGCGTGTCCAAAGGACCTTCTCAGACTAAAAACAGGCAACTGCTTGCCGTGAAACGCGGATGTAATCATAGAATAGGCATCTATCTCTATAGTTCCGGACAGGCTTCTACATTCTTCATAGAAGCAGTCATATTCTTAAAAACGTGTGTGAGGATGCCACCTTGAACTAACTGCACCTGTGTTCTATAACGTGGTTTATTCTATATTCTCAGTATGTATTAAATCTGCTGTGTAAAATCGAGTAACTAAAAAGTTTATGGTTTGAACATTTTTGGATCGCCTTTAATAATAAATAATGCGGAATGAACTCTGAGAATCCATCAGATTTAATCCATGAGTGCACTCCAGAAGCAGCATTAATAGCGCACCCTATGCGAAAACGGTCCTGCTCTTCACGTTCCTCTACCATATGGAGTGAAATGTACAAATCTGCTGCAAGTTAAACAGGTGAGAAGACATGAGAAGACATTGCTGTTGCCGACTTGAGACACTCGGTGATTATGAGCGCTGCAAATGAACTAGGAGTCCCTTGTGTTCATTGTGCACTGTGTTCCACTGCCTTCTTCCTGTTCGCTCACTAGAGCAAAACGGCCATCTTCACGATTTCTTTGGTGATTGAGCGGTTTAATAAAGCAACGAAAAGTGTCAGCATCGTTCTTCAGAAAAATTATGGTAAGGGTTGCAGAGTGAGAAAGAGGAAATTGTCAAAACAGGTCTGCAAACTTGATTTCAACACTTGCCGTATTGCATGTCTCAATTCTCTTTACACCATCTGCACACAGTATTTCAATTGAATGATCGATTAGCTTCTATCGAACTGTCTGCCGCTTTAAAACTTTGAAACTGTCAGCATTCACTGTCATAAGGAGGTGTCGAACTTTCATAATAATAAGATTTTCTCAGCACCGGTGTAGCCTCTAAGGCAAACGGTCTTGAAAGAGATTTCGACACTTGGCCAATATCAATGGTCCATGTATAGGAAGAGTTATGTCCTCGTTTTCGCCTTTCGTTGCCGTCACCATCTTCTTACTCATACTCGGTTTCGCCGTTTCATTTCTACAAATCAGCATTTACTCTATAAAATTTTCAGAGTACTAACTAAATGTCGATAATCACCGTAATACTTTTGAACTGCTTTTCGATGGTCATTTCAACCTCCAACGATTACCCTTGGAGCTACGATTACGACACCTATCAAGGTTAGCGATGTTGCGATGCATTTGAAAACCAAACTTGGTTAAAGAAGTCCATTTCTAAGCTCGATCGCGCAATACGCTCCTAATGAAATAGATAAATGTTGAGTAAACATATTAAATTAACCATCCATAATAAGCCCGATAATGCTACAGGCGTGTGCAGACCAAGTAGGCAGAATTTAACAGCAGAAGCAGAAATAGGGCAGGCAAAGAAGTTCTCCCAGTCCGCGTCCACGAGTGGTTGATTCATTACAGTAGTCAAAGCACCATCTGCCACCACCAGAAGCACCCAAATATCCACCATTTATTAATTTTTTGCGTGATTAAATTGACACGTAGTTGGCATGAAGCTTTTATTCGGCTAACGTATCGGTGCTTTTGCTTTCTTCCGAGCCGTGTTGATCCGAGTCGATGGTCCATAGCTGGCCGTTGTCGCGATGTGAGTATTCGTTGTTGCATCAAGTCGAATCCAGCTTTTATACCGACTGAAGTACAGGTTGCTACACGACGCATTGCTGGCTAAAAAGTAGATCATATTGGATGACAGAAATCCGTCAACACCGTTTTGTATATAAAGCCACACCGGGTAGAGTTCCTCACTCGATTGGTGCTCTCTCCACTGAATTCCACTCGGTGAAACAACGAACTCCCAGGTATTAACAATGACCATCTTGGAATCATCGACTAGGATCAACGTGGCTGTGAAGAAGATGAAGGCGCCGAAATTTTAGCAAGATAAAAGTTTTATATCAACCTCGTGTCAACTCAATCATTTAGAAAACTATTAATTGTTGTTGCCGAGGTTTATTAAAAGCCAGTTTTTAAGATGTCTGCCATTTGTTGTCAGACTTTGAAAAAGGTCCCCTGGACGAATCGAAAAGCCCAAGACTTTGCCACTGATTTTTTGTACTGGTTGACCGCTTCGTTATTAAAAAGTTTTCATTGAGGAAATTTGCTTCCACTAACTGTCAAAAAGCCTTGTGCTGTAGCTTGGAGTCCAAGTAATGTTATGGAAAACTATTCAGCTTTTGAACCAGTTTTGATTCGATAACTGTTTGAATATTCTAGATGTCATTTCTTACTAGGTAACAGTTCGGGCTCTTTCTCAAGTCCCATCTATTTCCGCGGGTTGTAGAATCCTTGTAGGGTCGTAGGAGCACTTTTAGATTGAGTTGCAGAAACATATAATTACTTTTGAGAACTACATTGCAACCCTTATTTAAGCATTTCCTTGCAGGACCGCAAAATTGGGGTCTGCTGTTCAAGCCGTGGGTGATGTGTCACAACGGAAAAATGCAATCTCCGATAGACATTCCACCCGATGAACTGCTTTTCGATCCCAATATGAGGCCGATCCATATTGATCGAATCAGCGTTTGTTTTCGAAGTTATTGCAAACTTCCGTCACAAACGATCAGTCGTTAATGTTTTGCAAACGTTGCGTAGTTTTTCACACAGTGTTCGTAAATTTGATATGGAAAGCATGGTTTTGAGGCTTTCATCTGGATAAGGTGTAATCTCAATCACTGAATAGCCCGGCTGGTACCAGTGAGACCTCTATTCGTTCCTGTTGCGTTTTAGAGTTCTCTACTGCGCTACACTAGCTCAAGTGACACGAAGTGTGTCGCATTCTAGGTATGGAACCCTTTGATTTGGCTGTTTGTGACAAAAGGTTGACAATGAGAGTAGCATGATAGCTCTACTTTGTCACTGGTTTACTCTTAACTGGTTTTTTACATGAAAATTCAGAAGCGCTTTTGATGTTTGCAGTGAAAGAACGTCCCGTATCCCTTTCACTGTATATCGTAGCTCCGTAACCAGTGAAGCAATAAGCAATAGCGAGCAAAGGGCATTGTGCCTACTCTTAGTGGAAACGAAAATGATTTCTGAGAAATAAGGCGGGAACGAAAGTAAGTGGAATAATGGCTACTCTTCTGAGACCTATTACAAATCATCCATCTATTCAGACAAAGTTGTTTCGAGGGAAAGAACAAACAGAAAGGCAAATATTAAGTCATGGAAATTAGGACAAAGGAAAAAGGATATAAAGCTGCTGGCGTTGATCAATCCGTTGGGGTTAGGGATGCACTACGCATTCGACTTCATTAAGCATCGTTAGAAGTAGTTGAATGCATACCCGATCTTTACAATGATTCGCGGTGACCTACCGATGTATTGAAACAGCGCTGCTCTCCTCCCGGACAAGACTGGTACCAATTTGGCGACCCCGGAGAGATGGAAGGCTTGGTGGGCCATGGACGCACGGATCGATTCCATATGTGTTGCGGGAAGCCTCCGACCACTGCGCCACACGCGCTCTGCAACAAATTGGAAATTAAAGTGAAGGATAAAGGATAAAACTCCCAGCTTGGAAATGAGGTCTATTAAATTATTCGAAGAAGTCATAGAGGTTGAACATTTTCTGTGTTTGAATGTCGTCAGACACTATCTGCCTTTCTCACTGTTTTCAGCGAATGAAAAGTGAATGTAGTGGAATTTAAGGTGATGTCGGAAATGCTGAACACCGGTCAGATGCCTCGGATTCGTATAGGAAACTCACTACGGAAACCGAGTGCCAATCTTACTGGTGGACCGTTACATGGCTACAAATACAGGTAGGAGGATTTGGGCAATTTGATGTCTTTCTATAAATATTTCTTGAAGAATTCAACGGATAGACATCCATATTGGAAGAGAAGGCATAAATGGGAGCGAGCATACTATTGATGGCAAGAGGTTTCCAATGGAGGTAAGAAGTACGTGGAACGTTCAGAGAAATTACAATTGAATAAAGCTGTCCGGTGCCATCTACTTAGCGTGATGTCTCCTAGAGCGCTAGCGTTTTCAAGTTGCCTGTTAACAGATTAATATCCTGTGCTGAAGATGCGATAGAATCCATTATACAAGAGGAATAACTTTCTCTAGAGTTGCTTGGACACTTAGATGACGTATTTCCACAAGCCATAAAAGCCCAGCCCAGCTTCGTCTACACTGGTATTTTGCCGGTGGGATTAGTTTACACTTCACGCCTCAGATAATCGCGCAAGAATGTTGTTTAGTTGGCTTGCTCTAAAACGTTTCTGGTTAGGATACGGGAATTCGCAATCTAAACAGCTTTGAGTAGAGGATAAACTTCTAGCTGCATATCCCTATTCAACAACGGACTCGCATCGAGTAGATGCAGAGCTTATTTGTTGCAAATTATCTTTCAGCCGTTATTCGTATAGGGTGCAGTGTTTTCAGTACAGTGCTCCATTTTAGCAAAACAGTACTTCGTTTTCACAATGTTACCTTTCTATTTACTGCCTATTATAATTCTTCACGGCAGGGTATTATGTGTACTACAACCACAATAATGCTGAGATATTTGCAAAACCCTGGACCTCAGGTGTCTGCCGGGGGCAACGAGCGCTCTACTACCCTTTCCGGGAGCTAAAGCGTTCACCACCACATCATGCGGGTCTTTCGTTTCAGCCGTCTCTCAGATAGTTCTAAGTTGTATCACACGTGCCGTGAAAAATTGTAATAGGCAGTAAATAAAAGGTTAACATTGAGACGCCGACTACAGCCTCAGCTTAATTGGGTTCATTGCCGACTTGGGCTCTTTAGATCAACCCCGCTTACGAGTGATTGTTGATGGCACTGATCGATAGAACTAGCTGATAGACTGTTTTGTTTTGTTTTGTTTTCCAACACTACTTGCCATTAATAAATACAAATACTGGGAATATTGGGAGCACTGCGAATAAATATTGGGAATAATACGGTGGGTCGTTCAGTGATAAGGGTTTTAGATACAATTGTTGGCTTACAACACCGATCTGTACGGAAATTTTTCATCAGCATCGCGTCTGCCTCATGGAATCGCCGCCATCTCAGTGCTTGTAGACGTCGGTGCTTCATCCTTGCTTTTATTCCTGTACATCTTGAAATCGCTAAATAAGTGAAATTTCAGTACGGAACTGAAACAAACCACGAGTTACTAAAGCTCACTGTTGCCGCAGCAAGCACCATATACAAAGGTAGGAATTTGTCCTCAAAAACTCTCCAATCAATAAAGTCAATCATTGCCGACAATTTCTGCTATATCGCACAATTAGGCGAAACTTCTGTGAGATGTTTCTGGGATTCCAATCTTTTCTTGACACTGCTGATCATTTCAATCACAAGAAGCAAGGGACACCAAGATGCTCAACAACCAAAGAAAAAAAGCTGTAGCAATCGTAGTTGAAATCGCAAATGTAGCAAGATGGTCGCTGTAGATCTATATCACATAGATGACGAGTGTTCAGTATTTACTTGCACAGAAGACGTTTTCCTACTCTGGTTATCCTTCAGGGTACTGAATATGACCAACGGCTTCAATAAAAGATTCTAAATGGATTTCATAGAACCACAACGTTGCTGAGATATTTGCAAAACTCTGGACCGCAGGTGTCTATGGTGGGGAACGAACGCGCTATTATCCTTTCCGGGGAGTAACGCGTTCACCACCACACCATGCGGGTCCTTTGTTTCGCACGTCTCTCAGCTATTTCTATCGATCTTTTTTTTTTGCCACAGCAATTTTTTTGCCACAGCAATCACCCGTCAGCGGGGTTGATCTGGGGAGCGCAAATCGGCATAGAACCCAGTTAAGCTATGGCTGTAGTTGAAATCACAATGTTTAACGTTTTGTTTTCTGCCTTCTATAATTTTAAAGATCGATAGAAATAGCTGAGAGACGTGCGAAACAAAGGACCCGCATGGTGTGGTGGTGAACGCGTTACTCCCCGGAAAGGATAATAGCGCGTTCGTTCCCCACCATAGACACCTGCGGTCCAGAGTTTTGCAAATATCTCAGCAACGTTGTGGTTGTATTTCGCTTAATAACCTGCCATGAAAATTATAGAAGGCAGAAAATAAAACGTTAAACATTGGGATTTCATAGAGTTTGCAGAGCTATTACATAGGCAGCAAAACAAGCACTCTCTATATGGCATATGATACTTTAGTGCCTTTAACCCACAACTTATGTCATGCGCCATCTGAAATTCAGTCGCTTTAGAGCAGTTATCACAGAAGGCAGCAGAGGCTTACACGTGCACAGATGGGCAAAGTGGGTTATTCTGGATTAGCTCCTTTCTTTATCTGCTGCCAGAACGAACTACAATTTTGTATCAGCGGAGCAAAAACCTCAACCTTTGATATCTAGTTCGATCTATTTGTAAATAATGTAACACTAAACCAGATCAGTAATAAATATGTAAACAATAGGTCATTTAAATGTTATTAAATGGATAGAATATATAGGAAATACTGGAAGCGAAAAAGCAATGATAGGAAGAGCACAAAATTCCGCATGAGGGTGGCTATGCGGAGTGGATGATGTTACTGCTCGAGGCATTGCTTTAGAGGAGAGGGTTCTTCTCTTGTCCTTAGTCTTCCCCAGTCAGTAGAAGCTGATAGGGCAGAAGCAATGCGCAAAACTGCATCAGATGAAGGTTTAAGGGATGGTTTATACGAAAGATAAACTATACGATCAACTCAAAATAACGAGAGTGTAGGTGCGAGTATGTTAATTACGAAGGAAGTAATATCTTGAACAAGGAAACAACAAATGTGTGTGTGAAAGGATTGGGAACACTATATTTTGGCGAAGAATGCTTAGCAATAGTTAAGCCAGCTGTTCCTTGTGGCTTTGACATGGGATGACTTAATTAACGTCAGTACTTAAAAAAAGAAGAACCTCCAGTGTGGTTCGGATGGTTCTTAGCTGCTCAGTGCTTAATGTTGACTGGTAAGCAACGCTAAATTATTGCACGATTTCTACTCTTAACTGAGTATCCAGTAGAGAAAAGAAATAGATCAAATTAAAAGGAATTCTTTTATAGTGTAAAATATTTAATGTATCATAATTCAACATGCAGGGTGCGAATAGCACAGTGGTAGTGATGTCCGTCATCACGACCACGGTGCTAGTTCGACTCGATCAGCATTCTACGACATTCGAGATGAAATGAAAATCCTCAAGCACCAACCGAAGTCACACGTAAAAGTTGGAAGGTCTTGGTGGACAATGGATGCGAGGAAACGAGTGGAATGTGAGAAGTACTGGGACACAGTAGACGTGGAGACAGGTCATATAAAAAATTCAACATGCAAGCATTCGTTGCAATTGAAAAGCCAGTAAAGGACTGCAAAAGGTGAGCAGTTCTAACAACGATGGAAGAGTTGTAATGTCATTAGGTGTCACCAACTAAGTATGAAGTGAAATACAAATTTTAGTCGTGCGTTTCACAAAAAATTCTAATGTTTCGCTCAATCTCCCAACGGTTTACCGCCTTATCGTGGCTAGGAGGTGTTCCTGTGTGTCGGGTTGCGATGTACAGCGGGGGATTTGTCGTTCTGGTAGGGTCGGTCACCCAAGCAGCTGAGAAGAAACCCGACGTTTCCATCAAGAAGCTTAGCTAAGAGTAAACCAATACCAGGATCCACCACGTCTTGGTATCAAAGTCGCATGCTGGCAATTCTCCCTGATTCACAAATGCGGCGAATACCTGTGGTGGTGAAAACCTGGGACAGACTTTGGTCAAGCTGACCTCGGGATTCCAGAAAACCGCAATGGCTTAACCAGCAAATCTGCTAAAAATAGAGATTATGCTGGAGCCAGTACAACCAGTGAGGACGGACCGTTCGAGTACCAAGTATTAAGTAAGTTTTGCTCAAAGTACGAAAACTTCACTGTCTGCTACCTTTAAAGACGGGTATACACCAATTTTCGTTAAGAACTTGATCGCTGTCTGGTAAGTATTTATCAATTAAAGGGAATCCAAGACATATAGAGAGTTAAATACGAGAACGAAAATGGATGCTTAGATAGAATTTGCAGAAAACCGTAAGTTTTTAGCACCTTTGATAGGTTTTTCAAACTAATAGAAGTGAAGTAGTCCGTGCTTGCTTTTCAGGAAATCCTGGTAATTCTGCTATTTTATGGTTACAGTAAGGTTGAAACATGAGGAGAACAAAATCAGAGATTCAGTGAGGGTAGCATCTTCAAATCCTGTTTTTCAGGTCAGCGGGTTGAGCTCATTGACTTGGAGCCATGGCGCTTATTACCGTACACCCGAAATATCATCTCATATGAGGGGTCAATGACGTCTCCAGGCTGCCACGAGACGGTCACATGGATTATCGTGAATCAACCAATTCATATCACCCGCGATAATGTGAGTGCAAATGTTTAAGACGTACTGGAAAAGACTAGAACACAAAATGCTTCACACTTGAAAGAGTCTAGTACGGTCGACCAGCCATAGACAAAAAGAATCTATGCAAAGTTTAAGATACAAAATACCACATTTGCAACCTTACTCAATAAAACACTCCTAGTTTGGAAATACCTTTACTCTTCATACCAGACCATATGAAATGCCACTAATGGTTGAGATGCCTTTTAAGGCGGCGGTTCGACACCATCTCGGACCACGCAATTCTCTTTTTCATCCAGGGTTAGGAAACTAGCACTAGACTTGTATGGAAAGGACTCCATCCGATCTACGAAGGAAATTAATTTTCCGTGGTGAGAACTTGGAAATGCCCTAGCAGAGATATCGAGTGGGTTCACTTGACTACCATTAAACAACGCTCATAATACCAAAAATGCTCAGCTAACACTTCTATCATAACCAAATCCGAAGGCCTTTGTAGATGATGGCTGCAAAGCAACGGACCTAATAAAGGAAGTGCTGCGATCCCGCAATATGTTATTATAGATCACGTAAAAGTGAAAAACAAGTAGACCGTCTGTAGTGAATTCAGCGAGAATGCCAGCCCTTACTTGTTGAATATGAATTTGCTTCTCAACTATCTGAGCAGAAAACTGTTCAGACCACAGGTGTGATAGAATTGCTCGACGGTTCATAATATATATGAATGTATATAATAATTGGGCCTTAGAAAGCTACTTCCAGCTTTTCGTGCAAAATAGATACAAATTCAACTTCTAGTTTTACACGCTTAAGTGAAAAAGCGTCAAAATGGAGAGACAACTCTTCGAGGAGATCGAGAAGTAATAATCGACATTAACTTAGGTCTTCCGGTCTATTTTAATCAATACGCATCAAATCTATGCTGATAAAACGATAAAACTGATGAAAACTTCCGTTTTCAATCATATAATTTCAATTTAATGACGGTATCCATGTAAAACGAAGGAGCAACTCTTTGGTATGCTATTAAGCAGAAATATCTAGTCAAGCAAATGACTGTTTCCTCTTTAGAGAGCAGAAATTCCAATCGGCCCGGGAAATAAAATGCAAAATGTCGCTCTACTCCAATGGAATTCACCAGGGGGGTTGCGACTGAAAAGAACCCAGAAATCAGAAGTTTTCGGTAACTTTTCTGGTTTACAACAAAAATTCTTCCAAAGGCATGAAATAGCCCGTGGACTTCTGCAGATACAAGTTCCCACATCGAGTACACACATACTTATCTTCCCGTATGGTCTACTAACGAATGGCGGGCCATGAATTAAGACTGGACCTACGTCTTTCAGTTCAATTAATAAAATGACACGCTTATTTCAGTAAGTCTGAGTATAATTTTATTTTTGACTAGTCCCAATCTCAGTGCTTATGTGATTCGGAAGGGCGCGTGTGGAGCAGCAGTCGTGGGCGCCCTGCAAACGCACACGTGGAGTCGATCCCCACGCCCATGATCCACCAAGCCTCCCATCACTTCGGGGCCGCCAAATTGGTATCAGACTTATCTTAGAGGATAGCAGCACTGGCTTGATACATCGGTAGGCCACTGCGAGTCATTCTAAAGGTCAGATATACATTCAATCACCTCCAAACGATGCTTAATGAAGTAGAATGCATGGCGCATCCCTCAGGGATTGATCAACGCCAAGAGCTTTATCCTACATTTTTTATGTGATTTGGGCAAGTTTGTCGTGTACCGCCACAACTTTAACTGAGCTTCCTATGCTGAAACGTAGAACACAAATAAAAAACTTGAAACAATTTATAAGAAATTAGCCTAGACTTTAATTAATTTACCTATTGAATCAGAGTAAAGATGTTTCCCTCAGATGGCTGAATGGGGAAAGATGGTTCAGACAACGAACAAAAGTGACGAGTCACAGTTCTTGGCTCCTAACCGAAGGGCTGTGCAGGAGTTGCGCTCCAGACTTATCAGGACAAACATCAGGCATCTGTTAAAGGTCTGTGTTACGAGTGATGTTGGCAAATTACTCATCAGTCTATGTGTTTCAATAGATTTTCTTCATTGTACGTACAAAACTCGGTTAGTTAAAAGGCAACACATCTACAGGTTGCGCGATGTCAAGTAGTGTAGCATGAAGACTATAAGCAATGCTGCGCTTCCTTGGGCACTAAAAGTTGATAACATTGAAGGCTAATTTTCATAACCTCAATGTACTGAGGTTCTATGAACCTCGTGTTTAAGTCGCGCTGTTGAATTTGCCTGAAGCCATAGTGGTCGTTAGAAATAAGGATAAGAAGAAAAATAAAAGTATTAAACTGGAGACTATCTGGCTTACAACGTATGTTAAGTAACGTTTGATATTACATCGCAATAAAAATCTCTTAAAAAGTAATGCCTATGTTTTAGGCTATCGTGAAAATCTTATCATCCACTAATTCTTTCCGCACAGATAATAAATAAATCCATGTGATGATCCTGTTACACTATTAAAGGCAGTGTGGGCATACGAAAAACTCATGCAACACCTTGCAAGAGAGTACTGTAACATCCTAAGAATTAAAAGCCCGGAAACCATAAAGCGCTGCTTTTAATGTTGTCTAGCGATGTACAGGCCACAAAGTGACTCGTCGTTCGCCGCAAGTTAGCCATGTATAGGACACTAAGATGAATACTCTCCGCTTGACTGTAGGAATAAGAGTCGTCTCCAAGACAGAGATGTTCCACCGCAACTCAGGATAAACAGGGTACCTAAAATGCCCAGATCAGAATCCGAGAACAGGAGTCTGCTGTGGGGAACGGACGCGCTATTGTTCTTTCCGGAGGGTAACGCGTTCATCCCCACATCATGTGGATCCTTCGTTTCGCCTGTCTCTCAGCTAGTTTTCTATTGATCACTGAGATCAACAATCACCCGTCAACGGGATTGACAAACGAAAGACCGGCATGGTGTGGTGGTGAACGCGTTACTCCCCGGAAAGCACAATAGTGCGCTCGTTCCCCACCGCAGACACCTCCGGTCCGGAGTTTCACAAATATCTCAGCATTGTAGAAGTTATATTTCGGAACATAACCTGCCATTAAAAAGAATAGGCAATAAATAAAAAGGTTAAGGTTAGGAAACAAAGCTTCCATTCACAAATAGGACTTCATTATATGGTAGAAAGCTTATTTTTCCATTTTCTAGGAAAAAAATGAGTGCAAAATGGCACTGCCGAAGATGATGTATCGCAGCGGTAACAGACAAGCATCTGAGACGAGACACCGCATTCGGCAAGTACACTCGAAGAAATCTCACGACGAGGATTTTCTCTAAGTGATGTCATTGCATGCATGCAGTAGTCACGCGTAAACTTTAGCCCTTGGGGATGAGCAATTGCTGGAGCAGCTCTGCTCTTTCTTTACATAGTTGTCCACTAAAAGAAAGCCCTTTCCATGTTGAGTGCAGATCGTTCTATGTCAACATACCGGAACTAATAAATCAACGCTACTGGCATTCAAATGTGCCCATTTATGCATATGCCCAGTGCACATACTGGTTTTGTCGCCAATTTTCTTGTTTTTATCTCTAGATTACAGTGCTTTCTGGGACCACACCGTAAGGCTGGCGCGAACTTTGCCTTGTTCTGTTTCGCTCGCAGTACTTCCAAATTTAGCCAGTGACGCTACCCTCTAGAGGACGTGAACCAGTGGCACATGTCGTTTCTAATTTAAATGTCTTATGACTGAGCTAACTTTATGTAGGATAGGATGTTTTTTTGCATTACTGATTAAAGTTGTGATCTCAATGGTTCCGAATTCTTATTGTCTTACTTATTCCAAGACAAATAAGCAACGAACATGACGCACCTATCATCTATTACTTTGCATGAAGATTTTATCCTTACTGGCATCAAAGACTCATTCGAAACGATACCCATAAGATGCTGATACTCTCCCAATCAAATTGTTAAACTTATGATTGGGGCGCTACTTTTCCAAAGCTCTTCATAACTTCAAAGGGTTTATTGTTACCATGGCCACGAGAAGATACTAAAGTCACTGCAATAGTACACCTTACTTAGTTCACACACAATACAACGCTACCCGGACAGCCGAACTGAGCAATGAATTGTCTAAAGCGTCTTTGTAAGGAAGAAACACCAATCTACAGTTTGCAAAACAGCTTGCGTAACAGTAACCTAAGCATGAACGTAGCTACCCGGATTACACAAGGAGCCCCTCAAATAGTCCTTCTTATATATCCTGCAACCTCTATTCGTGTTTATGGATATCTTGAAATGCGACAATTTTCAACAATTAAATGAATTCTAGCATATGAATCGATAGAATAGAACAACATAGGAGAAGCACAGTTGAAACTTGACCACCAAGCCGCACAGGGAAAGGCGCTATGTGATATGAGTACCGATTTGTTTGTTATCATTTCAGATGAACGCCTTTCTTCGGAACATGGAATATTCAGACATTATTCAAGTTGAATAAGATGACTGACGGTCTTCAGCGTATGACTGAACAAGCCTTGAAAATGATTTTCTGAACTAAAAATAACACCCTGGCCAGTGCACCTAATCCATGAGGAATAAGGCGTTAAGGGGTTTGGACATTCGGCGTTGATGAATCCTCTAGAGATTTCATGTGCCTGCATTAAGCATTGTAGAGGCCATCGAGTCCGTATTCATCTCTTAAATGCCCTTCGTGGCCCTGCCGACGTATCAAACCAGTCCTCGTCCTTCCAGACAAGTCTTACATCACAATGTTAACTTTTTGATTTACTGCCTATTATTATTTTTCACAGCAGGGCAATGTATGTGATACAACGACAACGAAGCTGAGATATTTGCAAAACTATGGACCGCACGCGTCTGCGGTAGGGAACGAATGCGCTATTACGGAGTTTTGCAAATATCTCAGCGTCGTTATGGCTATATTTCACATAATACCCTGGTGTGGTGGTGAACGTGTTATCCCCCGGAAGGCCTTACATTAGTTCCCCAACCTTGTAGTGATGGAGGACCTTGATTAGCCGTAGGTGGGTGGTCGAACAGATGATCATCCCTGCATTGCGCAGCATCTCTAACCGGCAACAACGGTACCTCTCGAAGACTTCATTGCTCACGCAAACAAGTACTATTCACCAATTACTTCCTGCTACGCTTAGTTCAGATCAAAACTCTTCGTTCAACCTATTAGAACTAGAGTATACAATGTTTTTCTTAATACTGAATGAAACTCAATGAATGCAACCTTCCTGCTGATAGTGCAATCGGCTTGCTCAGCGAGGTCTTTCTACGCATCATAGTTCAGAAAAAATATCTAACAGGAAGAACATCGCTGCTATTACTTTCTACCGTACAAACAAACTAGGACCACAATTGTCGCCGATGAGGGTGGTAATATGGTTTGGTGTACTTCATGTACATCGCAGTACCGTCTTGAGCTCACAAAATGCTCTTCACTGATGAATCTCAACAAAAGCGTATCATTGCAGCCACTAAAATTTCTGAAACCTTGTTCTCACAATCCTTCACTGACATTGTAAGCATCGCGCTCAGGATCAACCTACAATCCAAGGTTTTCACAGCTCACACATTTCTGGCTACCGAAGACCTGCCTGGTTCATTATACTGGAGATATGGAGTGATATAGTAATTCGAAGGCCTCTTAAACATATATTGTAACGATATTCATATCTTATTTTTCAATGGTTATTGGAAACCTGGTGAATTTAGCTATTTAAAAATAGCAAGGTATTCCCCATATTTTTATGAGAGGGTTCTTCAAAGACCGATGGAACGTTAAAAGAAGAAAAAGATGCGAAATGCATAGAAAAATATGGGAAATCTATAGACGAAATACACAAACTTACAAGAAAGGAAAAATCCAACATCGGAGCGTAAAGTAGAAATGGGATGAGTCATGTTTCTGGAATTATATGTAGCATTGAGGAGAGTTAGCGCACTTTCACGCGCCAACTTCTGAAATTCAGCACCTTCGTTAGATGTGTAAATGCACTTCTTCCCCCTCAGAATCCTTGCTATTCGGAAATGAGGCTGCAAATTGATTTTCCCAGAAAAATGACGTGAGCATCAATGTTCAGCTAAGAAGTCAGATAGAGTTAAGCTGATGTTTGCTCAACGTTTGCGACATCACAGATTAAGTTTCTCTTCTCTAGTGATGAGTAGCTGTAAACTGTACTAAGTCTATTTCTTAACCAACACAAAAAAACGAGTGCTCTTATAACTTTATAGGATACAGGTTGGATTTGATGAGGTAACACATCAATCACTCTCATCTTTACTACTCTTAGTAAAGGATCAAAAATACTACAACGCCGCCTTCATAAAATAAGCATGGCAATGATAGATTCTACGACATGTCTAGTGTTTCCGTTCTGCCTCGAATCCCACACCTGGGACGTACTGTTCAGATGGATTGTGGAACAGCGTGTGATTCCCATCTCCCCATGGAAACGGCTGTAATCAACACAATACAGCATTGTTCACATAAAACTCAAACAAGTAATACAACAGGACCTATCATACTAACCTTGTTTCTGACATTAAGGTAAGGATAAGCCACATATTCAGGACGCTCATGTTTCTTGTGCTCTGAGTGGTCTCTGTAGGCCCCATACATGGTCAGTGCAAGGCATGGAATCGCAGCAAAGAAAAAAACCTTTTTCCAAGTCTCTTTTGTATCTGAAAAAAGAATGTGCTAAACACGAATAATAATGTCAAGTTACATATACAGAATACGATTTTTTGCCTTTCTAAACGCACAATCGTGTAACAGGTGGTTGGCCACACAGCTTTGAACGCTTCCAACGGAAATAACTGAAGCCACTTTTCTCGATGATATCTAGATTGGCTGCATCATGATTAATGTCCAACTTTAGTTCCAAGTTTGAAATTCTGAAGGATGGAAACCTTGGCATAACACATGCCAGCAGTCAATAGTTACTAAATGGTTAAAAGTGGGAAAGTGTACTTCGCGACCTCCAGCATGAAAGCCTTAGGCAACCTAAGACATAGCCAGCCGGCCACAATTCTTGTTCCGCAGTTTTTACCATTTATAAGAACAACAACTGGTAGAATGTCTGACGTGTGTCTCATGCACAACGACTGCAACAATGTTAAGCGTATTAGTGTAGGAATACATGTTTCAGTAGATCTACAGTTCTTCCCAAGAGGTGCAAAGTCGAAAGCTTCTGTGTACTATAGCTCTCCCGGGTTGTGCGGGACACTTTTCGCAGCATATTTATGACGACATCTGGATCTAAATCCAAAGTAAGAGAATTACTCCCACTTGCTTGGGGTGACCAATTAGCTAGCAATGGTTGGAATTCTACTGACTACTTCACGGGAAGGAACAAAGAGTAGACAAAAATAACACATCAGTATATAACAAAAGTAAATGAAAACAATTTACCATGTGACTCTTTAAGTGAACTGGTCATCGATTTCTTGAATCCATCAAAGTTGTGAGAACTATCTCCAGAAAAGTTTCTTTGGAACGAACGTGTCACACGAGCACGACAAGCGCAGACAAGTCGGCTGTGTAACATTTCCTAGAGGAATCATAAATACAAATGGATCTCGTACTTCTCGAAATCTCGAAAGTAGAGAGAAAGGTCACCACAACGAACACTGTCGACCAAATCGACAATAGAACCTCCATGAGAATACAGCAACTGGGTAAAAATGACATATATCAAAGTTGTGAAGAGAATTCACTAGAGGACTGGATGGGTTAGAACCATAATGTCCATTTGACCATGACAACATGGCAAAGCATGAGGAAAAAGTCAGGTACATTCACCTGGTGAGAATTCTCATCTTCACAAAACCACTGCCTTCCTCACCACAGAGTTAATTTTGAGAAAGAAAAACAGCAAGAGAAAAAATGGAAAGTAAAGGAATATATAGCCCATCTAATTTCTACCGAACTCTTTCGAGCCTTTGTTCAGCATTAGTTGGGAGCTGCTGATGAATAGACAAAACCAGAAACAAGACATAAAACAATTGATTGCACAACCGATTATACAGTCAATTACGATCAATCAGCCGATTACCTGACGTAGAAATAAACGATCCAAAGACGCGACCTCTCAAAAGAAGTAGAACGAAAATAAGCAAGTCTAGCAAGAACAGCGGAAAACCCATTGCATACAGACGTGATTGAAGGCCACTGCCATCCCCATGGAGCGCGATTTTGCAGTAGAGCACGTCGTAGGACAATGCTGATTTCGAAATCCTCGAATCGAAAAAAGCACAGTAGATTAAATTGCCAATGACGTCTATTTTTGGACACCCACACGATCACTCATATGTGACTCACATCGGTCAAATCCATTTCGAATTGGACCGACCCTTTTTCCTGTACTTTCCGTTTCATAATTCATATACTTCTGTTCCTAAACGATAGTCCTCCATGCGTTGATGTTCAGCTCAACTCATACGGCATCCATTTACTGGATTTTCTGACTTTCTGCTTCAGCTCAGGTTCGTCGAGACTGTTCTTGTATTTACCGCTGGTTTTTCTAAATACTGTCTAACCACTGTGCATGGCTGTACTCTAGTTAACGCCTTCAAATGCTGATCAGGTCTCTCATGTCCATCTCAGAACTTCTGGAACAATGTTCTGCCATACTGTCAACCATTTACTGGTTAACGGTTCCCTTACCATAAGCGACAAAACACTAGAACCATTAGAAAAGTTTGTTGTCTGATTTTTAGTTTGTACAAAATATTGTCCTCATAATTACCATTGTTTCGGAGTTTTGCTGGTTTAGCCATTGTGATTCCCTGGAAACCCGATGTCAGGCAGGCCAAATTTTGCCGCAGGCCGTCACCACCACACGCAATCGCCGCCTTTGTAGACTGGAGGGAGATTTGCCACCATGCGACTCTGCTACCAGGACGATAGTGGATCCTGGGATTAGTTTATTCTTAACTGGTTTTCGTGATGGAGACGCTGGCTCCTTCTCAGCTTGGCAGAGCCCGCTAGATGGACGAATCGCGCTGCTGTATATCGCAGTCCTTCACCCAGGAACATCTTTCAGCCACGGTGAGGCGGTAAACCGTTAGGAGAAACTCCTTAACAATGAAAATTATGCTGGGGCTCACACAACCATTGAAGACGGGGTATCCAAGTATCCAATTAAGTGTTGTCCTAATTATGTTGTTTATTCGATGGTTTTCTTCAATAAGCAGACACGAGGTGGTTATTATAGAATTTATTAGGGCACAATAGCTGACGTTTCGGCGGTTCCGCCTTCTTCAGAGCCTGGAAAGGTCAAATTGAGATGCGATCTACCCAGCCAAAGTGTTTGGGTTATGAAGGTGTCTATTTTTCTTAGAGTCTTAGAGTGTCTGGTGGTATTTCAATCACTGTTACGGAATTCTCTAAACCGGCCCTTGTTAAGCAACGTTTTATGGCCGCACTTATTTCCTTTGAAATAAAGGGCAAGAGGAACGATGCCTTGTTTTCGCTGGAATTATCGCTATGGGGCGTGGTTTTTCTTCTTTGCCTATGCCGAGAAGCTACAGTTTCGTAACCATTTGAAATGGCTATTTGCCGCGCCAGTTTCGAGGATTCTGCCCTCTGCTCTCTACCTGTGCACACGCGGGTGGCGGTTAGAAACATATTTCTTACAAGCGTCCTTTTAGTGTGTGAGGGATGAGAGGAGAGGTAATGAACCGCTATATTCTTACTGCTTGGCTTTCGATACCATTTTGTGTTGTAACCGTTTTCGGTTAATTGATAGGACAGCTGCATCACAAAATGGTATCGAAAGCCATGCAGTAAGAATATAGTGGTTCATTACCTCTCCTCTCATCCCTCACACACTAAAAGGGCGCTTATAAGAAATAGAGTAGAAATAAATATATAAATAAATAATAATGGAAAAGTAAATAAAAATAGGGCGCGTGATGAGAAGACACTCCTCCTTGCGGTTAAACGAATTAAGTCCAGCCATAAAACGTCGCTTAATAAGGTCCGGTCCAGAGAATTCCGTAAGAGTGATAGAAATGCCATCGGACACTCTAAGACGCCAGCTAGTTCGCAACCGCCTATATGACTGTCTGTGTTCAACGAAAAACTGCATAATTTGCCCTAGCGGTAGAGATGGTGTTTGCATGAGTTCGGGTATAGTCTATCTGATCTCTTGTAAAGAGTGTGGGGACGAACACGTGGGCTCTGAAGAAGGCGAAACCGCCGAAACGTCAGGTGTTTTATCCTAATAAATTCTATAATAACAACCTCGTGTCCACTTATTGAAGAGAAACATCGAATTATCAATCAATGCCGAGATTAACAGAAAGTCGGTCTTGGTAATGTGTTGTTTATGTCTGTGTGAGCCACTGGAAAAATAGATCGAATCTGGCCTAGGGTCCAAGTGTTGTAGATATCTCAGCATCGAAGTTGTTGCATCGAAATGTTTTTCTGCGATTAATGAAATACCTCTTGTTGTGAATTGGCTCTTATCTCACAGCATCAACTCCTCATGAATTTCGGCATTCGACATCTGGACAAGTTCCACGAAATGGACATCAGCACACATCAGCACAAACGTACTCTCCTTTGAGAAAACGTTCAACGGTATCCTTTCGAGATCATAGTCCGATCATTCTCAACAAGAAACTGCTGTATCGAAGATCTAGTGAAGCGCCTTCCGACACAAGACGAGTTGGATGCTGCTGCCTAACGAGCATTGTTCAAGATCGACCGTCCCAAATGTCCATACAGGACCACTTGTCGTTTTCAGTTTAACACAAACATGACCACCATTGATTTCGTAGAGGCTGAAATAGCACTAAACTTATGTTATACCTTTTTATTTTCTCCCTATTATAATTTCGCCGCAGGGTACTAAGCGAAATACAACCACAACGTTGCTGATATATTTAAATAGCTGAGAGACAGGCGAAACGAAGGACCCGCATGGTGTGGTGGTGAACGCGTTACTCCCCGGAAAGGACAATAGCGCGTTCGTTCCCCACTAAACTTATGGTTTTTTCGGTAAAGGACGGTGAATTTCCGGCGTCTGTACGACTTCTGGTGTTGAGAACACCACAGAATTATAGAAAAGGCTTTCCTTTGTCTCTGTAGAGATGTACTGCTGCTACTATTTGGTATATTTTTTTTTACAATCATTCACCGACGAAATACGTTGCTGTTAGAGTTCGGAAGAATTTCGATACATATGTTCAATATACTGCGGTATTCCTTATATTACCTTCCCATACGGAGGCCATGTCTTGTCAGAACAATGTTGCGTACTCTACATGGGATTCGTGGAGGGCTGTGATTAGAGGTGCTGTGAAATATATATTTTGTCTTTGGTTAGATTCCGTACCATGGGCTCACAAGGCTCCCATCTCCATTAGGGGTCGGCAAATTGGTACCAAACTTGTCTGGGAGGATAGCAGCGCTGACTCTATACATCGGCACTCCACCACAAGTCATTGTACAGACCTGAAATTTGTTCAGTCATCTCTAAGCAATGTTTGATGAGGTTGAATGTATGGCGCGTTGCTCAGAGGTTGACCAATGTCGAATGCTTCATCCTTCATCACTGATATATTCTTCATGGGTAACATTGCCGGTTTACCAACAAATGTCGACAATTTTCAGTTAATAAAGGACTTCCGCAGTTGGTAGTTTTATAAAATTATAGAAGAGACTTTGCTACATCACTTTAGATGAAATTAATAATTTTTTTATAAGGAGGGTCTTTACTTTGGATTTATTTGAAGCAAACCTTCTAATACAGTAATATTATGGTGGAATTTTAGAGGAAATATATGTTGCTGACGAAGATTTCTAGATTCTGATAGTTTCTTCTCAAATTAATAACGTTCATGGTGGCCTCAGATATGCTTGTTGGAAGCTACACTGCTTTCGTGCTCGTATAAATTAAATTTAAAAAAGTAAAGGATAAAGCTCTCGGCGTTGATCAATCTCTGAGGGGTACTATTGGTGTAACTAAGGTGGCTAAACCTGCAGAATACTGCCATATAGTGCAAGCTATCACTGAATAACGTCATAGCATAATGTAATACACTATGTGGTTACTTGGAGCAAGGCATGTCTACGCTGATTGAGATTGATTGAGTCTATCGATTGATTAACTGGTTGATTTAGATTCATGAGTCTTCCTGGCCTATAACTGATGTTGAAGAGTAGACAGTCTTATTGGGAGCTCGAAAATGCAGGAGGAGACATCCGAAGAAAGGCATCCAACCGAAGGTGAATAGTGGATAGTTGGTAGTGTAACGTAATTGGAGCAGTGTAATAATGTTCTAGTGGAAAAAGAGGTAGAACATTATTGTATTGTTCACAGTTTACGATGCCACCATAATCATCCACTCCATTAAAGCCACGAGCGATTTTAGGCTCCAAGTAGGGCAGACTGTTCGTGAGCATAAGCGTAAAAGGGGAGGGGGTGGGCTGTGTCCCATCGGTTGTAAGGACTAACAAGCAGTGCGTACAGTTTTCTTTTTTATGGTTTAGGCACATCGTTTTGCCCATACTTTAGCTACATACGGCTCTTTTTCCACT